TTTAGTGTTATATTTATATCAATGATATGAATTAAGATAGAATTTTATGTCTATTGAGTCTATAATGCATATTAGAATTGTATTTTATATGCCTTTTAAATTTGTTCATTTAATTGGATTTCTAATAACTCACTTTTATTTGTATTTTCCAAATGTATGAATTCATGACAGATTAAGGGCAAAAAGTAAAAAGAATCAATCTTTAGCCACAAATGATTTGAGAATCACTAAATTAGGAGACTTTTTGGCACATTCTATAAAACAAGAATGTCAATACTTTAGCCTGTCATGATGGCACACTCCTGTAATCCCAGAGACTCCCAACACGAGAGAATCTCAATTTTGAGGCCAGACTCCGCAACTAAGTGAGGCCCCAAGCAACTTAGTGAGACCCTGGCTCAAAATTAAAAAAAAAAAAAAAGAAAAGAAAAAGAAAACAGTACTTTTAAAATTGTATAATTAAAATCATTAGTGAAACATCCTTAGACTCTAAAAGTTTAGTCACTCAATACATGCAATCTCTTACTCTTGCTGCATTTAGACTTTATTTTTTTTTTATGGCATGTGTGAGGCACTGGGCCAGTCTTGAACCCCTGCGCTCAACGGATCCTCCTGCCTCAGCTGCCCAAGTAGCTAGGACTTATAGGTACATGCCACCATGCCTAGCTTCATTTGGACTATTCTAATAATGATATCTAGCTTCTTTGACGTCATGTACTGTTCCACCTTCTTCACATGTATTAATTCATTCAATCCTCCGTGTCTTCTGAAATTAGTAATATTTTTAGTTTCATTTGATAGATGAAGAAACTGAAGCCCTTTGTAATAGTTTTTACCAGGTGATGCTATAATAAATAACATACAACCCCAAATTCAAGTAGCTTATTCCAACAAATATTCATTTGCTGGTTGTATTATAATTTGGTGACTTGTACATCACTTTCCTTAGCTCTTTTCTATGAGTCTTTTTATTCCAGGCCATAAACTAAAGGAGAAAATATCATTTTCTTTGTAGAAGGAAAGACCAAGGAGATAGTGGAAACTCACAACAGCTCTTGAAGCTGCTTGCTGGACAGGGTGTATACCATGTTTACTCGCATTCCACTGGCCAGAGCACATATGTGGCCAAACTCAAGGTCAATTTTATCCTCTTATAAGAATGGGAAGTTATTTTGGGGCACTATAGTACAGTTAGCCATAGTTACTCAACCTGGAAGTGGTTGTGCTAATATTCAAACCTGGCAGTTGAGTGCCAGGGTTGCCCTCTTCACCATAGCATCACATTTCCTATTCCCAAGAGTGTTGAATCAAATGGAGGAAGAAAAATACCAGCAGTGCTTCTTCTCTCCTTCTGCATCCAACATGGGATGAAGATTGATGACCTCATAGAATCCATGAAGCCATATAAGAAACCCCAGGGCAAGTTCAGGGTCTCTCCAAGCTATAGTGTTTCATCATGGGTATATCTTCAATCACAACAGGATGCCTTAGGACAGCACAGGTGAGATAAGTAATACATGTCCATGTTCCAGTTCTACATAATGACAAATGTTAGGATTTAAGGCTATGTATTCACCTTCATTTTATTTTTGGCAGGGGAGGGAGCGGTGCTGGGATCACATCCAGAGCGTCATGCATGCTAGGCAAGTACTCTACCACTGAGTTACATCCCAGATCCTTCCTTCTCTTTAAAAAGAAAGGAAGAAAGAAAAAAGATTTCACTTAAGAAAAAAACAGTGGGCTGGGTTTGTAGCTCAGAGGTAGAGTGCTTGTCTGGCATGTGTGAGGCACTGGCTCAATCCTCAGCACCACACCATCTACAACTTAAAATATTTTTTTAAAACAGAAAGAAAAAAGAAAACCTACCTTTTCAAAAAGTGCATTTTTCACTGCTTATAGTATTATACTGAGGTTTCCAAGTGGGTGTTTTTAACATTATATGGAAGATGCAATGTTAACCATATATTTTGAAATGTCTGGCTTAATATGCATATAATATAGTGTATTTATAATTTTCTCTTTTGTATAAGTCTATGTGTAGATTGTTTGCCACCTAGTGGCAGTTGTTTTCAACTCAAACATTAATATTCATGACCAATTTTAATTAGTTTGGCAGTGTGCTTCTTTTTTAAGGAAAGATTCCAAAGTCATAAAATGTTAAAAAGTGTTGACAATGACATTATTCTGCTCTAGCAAACTTAAAAAAAAATACCTTGCAAATTTGGTTCATATTTAATCCTTGACAATGACAAATGAGGCAGTGCATTCAGAAGTCATTTCCTGTTGCAGAAGAATGTAGAGAATGATAAAATGAACATTTCAATTTTTAGCAAATAATACTAGGATGTTCTCTGGATGTGTTGGTTTTGTTTTGCATTCAATGTGGCTTGGCAAAATATAGATACACAGTTGCTGAATTCATTGATTTATCATAGCACATTTTGGTGTATGTGACTAAAGAGTTAATCAGTTTTTCCTGGTAGTCATATTTTAGTTTTTAATATTTATTAAAAGTCATTTTACAGTCAAAAATCTCCTAAGATCCTGGGCAGCACAGTTGGAATAATTCTTACAAATATAATATAAAGCAGCATTCCCAGTTTTTTAAAAAAAACATAAAAATCTCAAATTCTGTATTCAGTGTATTTAAATATATTAGAATGGTTGGGAGAGAGAGAGAGATGGAATTTGGAAATGAATTTTAAAAGGAGCAAATGAAGAAATGAATCAATGACTAAGCTAACAGGAAAGGGCTTAGATGATAATGTGCCTTACAGTCAGATCAATGATGATAATGTGCCTTAAACAGAGATCAGTGATGAAGAAAATCAACTCAATCTCCTAACAAGAGAGTCAAGTAATGCTGATGCTTATCTCAAATTTAAGAATCAAATTCAAAAATATTTTTTTAAAATCACAATTTTCTCTCCTGAGCAGAGGAGATATTTCTGCCAAACCCAGGAGATAATTATTTTAACTAGATGATTTTTGTTTTGGGCTAATTATAGACAGTGTGAAGTTATTTATATTTCAAGTTCACTGGGCATTGAGATTTTGAATATTCAGTTCTTAAATATACAGTTCTTAAATATACAGTAATTAAATTTATATTGAACTTAGGGTAGTAGTCTGATTAAAAAAATACTTGGTGGAGAAAGAATAAAAAAGAACAGAGATAAAGACTGAGATATTTAAGGAGAGAAATAGTTGGCCTACTTGGTCAGCATTTCTCAAATTTGGGGAGCTCCCCCTTTCATGCTGGGCAGTGCTCCTAGAAAAAGATGGTGTTGCAAGGACACTGTTGCCCATTTTAGCCACAGTGATAGTCTCCACTTGGTGTTTCTCAGACACACTTGACTAAATGATCTTTGTTCCTATAAAGAAAGACATTCACCCCCTGCAAAAACAGCTTTCCATGCCCACTTTGGGAAATCCTCATGCAGTCAGACTCTTCTCCACCATTGCTCTATTTAAACCTGTGTTTTTCCTTTTACCATAGTCTTTATGATGTCTGAAAGTATAACAATTTCTTTACAAATATAAACACAAAGGTAAAAGTAGTATGTCAGAGTTCTCCTGAGAAACAAGCCTGATAAGACATATGTATATTAGATATACAGAATGATTTGCTATGAGAGATTTGTCATGTGATCATGGTAGCTGAGACGTCCCAAGGTCTTCCATCTGCAAACTGAAGGCTCAAGACAGCTGGCGGTGTGGCTCCAGTCCAAACCAGGGGAACCATGGCATAAATCCCACTCTGAATCCAGAAGCGGGATACATGAGGTGATGTTATAAGTCCTGGCTGGAGCCTGAGAACCCGGAGCACCACTGTCCAAGGGCAGGAGAAGATGGATGTCAAGAGTTCCACAAGGGAATATGAACCCACCCTTCTTCTGCCTTTCTGTTCTATCGGGGCCTTGCATGGTTTGGGTGATGCTCACTCATGTTGGTGAGGGATCCTTCTTTACTCAGCCAACCCATTCAAATAATTATCTCTTCCAGAAAACCCCTTACAAGCCTACCCAGAAGTAAGGTTTGACTAGCTATCTCATATGCTTTAGTCCCACAAAGCAGACATATAAGAATAACCACCCCAAGGAGTATATATGCTTCTAGAAAAACTTTAAACCAAAAGAGAGATTTTGAGATAAAAGGTTTTGTTTCAAAAAATGAAACCATACCACAGATCTTTAACAGCATCTCTCCTTTCTCATTAACATATCTCAGACTTCCCTCCTTGTCAGTGTATTCACATTATGTACCTTATGCTTTTTTTACCAGCCACACAATATTGCTGAATGGGGTTGAACACAAGGCCTTGGGAGCAGGGCAAATTGCTGACAGAGACAAGGCTTTAAGGTTGGACACCAGGAGAGGATGGCTTCAGGCCTTGGGCAACATGAAGGAGGAAGGAATCAGTTATGAACACAAGCAATGGCAGTAAAGTGGGAAAAAAGAGACAAAAAGAAGCCATGGGGATTAGGAACAGGCTGGGGGACAATGACATGTGTGTGGAGGTAAAACAATATTAGGTACAATTTTTGAACATTTACCATATGCCCAACTCTAGGCTAACGTACTTTATGTCCACCTTTTATTCTTTCTTTAATCATCATACAAAAAAAGTCCTGTGAGACAGGCATTATTGTCTCCATCATGCTTGAGCAAACCAAGGATTTGGTCACTCAAGTAAACTAGTGAGGTTGCGAGGCTGGCAAAGGGCAGGATGTCTGTCTGATTGGAGTAGTGTTGTGGTTTGGATGTGAGGTGTCCCCCAAAAGCTTAAGTGTGAGACACAATGCAAGAAGGTTCAGAGAAGAAATGATTGGGTTATAAACATCTTAATCCAATCAGTGGACTAATCCCCTAGTAGGGATTAACTGAGTGGCAGCTGAAGTGGTAGGGTGTGGCTGGAGGAGGTGGGGACTGGGGTGTGGCTTTGGGTTATATATTTGTATCTGGCAAGTGGAGACCTCTCTCTCTCCCCTTCCTGATCATCATGTGAGGGGCTTCCTTCTCCCACATTCTTTCACCACGTTGTTGTGCCTCACCTGGAGATGGGAAGAATGGAGCCTGCTGTCTGTGGATGGAGACCTCTGAAACTGTGAACCCTCAAATCCTCTACAGTTGTTCTGGTCGGGTCTTTTATTCACAGCAGTGAAAAAGCTGACTAAAACAAACAGCGAGGCCTACTTCTCACTGCAGAGCCCAGGACCAGGTGCACATCTAGGTGAGAGACGCTGTGGTGATTCTGATTGACTTCAGGCCTGGCCTGACCACAGGACTCAGGGCAGTCCCCAGACTACACTAGCTGGCTTTCAGGAGGATAGGAGGTGGGGGAGGTGTCAAAGACAAGGTGGGGAAAATGCTTCCATGCCCTGTTGTTTGTTGTTTTCCTGAATGTGAGGTTGTTTTGTATCCCTTTTCTCCTAAGGCCAGCTGAAGAATGTCAAAGTTGTGTGGTTTTACATCCTGGAATCTCCCTTCTCCTGACCAGCTTTCTCACACTCTCTCAAAAACCCATCACTGGCCCTGCCCCCAGCTCCACCCTGGGAAGAGGACTTTCCCTTCTTCAGCCTCCTGCCAGCCACAGTTCTCTCCACTTCACCACACCCCACCAGCTCAGGCTCAGCACACTCAGCTGCAGGTTCCTGAGGTGCAGACATGTCCTGTTGTCCATGCGTGCAGTGCCTACAGTGACTTTCCTGGCACACCAGCAGCAGGAGAAGAGGAGCTCAGAAATATTTGTTGAATAAATGGCAAGAAATTTGGTCTAATTCAAGAGCAAAGAGAGAACAGGTGTCTAAGATTCACTTCTTTAATTTCCTGGGGAATAACATAATGGGAAAGGCAAAATATTGTGAATGGACATAATGCTGATATAATTCACCGGGAAAGGAGCTGGAAGGTGTGTGGCCTCGTCTGCCAAAGTGAAAGAAAAGAAATTGAAATAGTCTGTATTTCAAATGTTTTATTCAATTTTTGCTATCAATAGTTCAGGTATCAAGAGTCCAACCAGCCAGGTCCTTGTAGTGCGTGCCTGAAATCCCAGCAATTGGGGGAGTCTGAGGCAGGAGGATCAGAAGTTCAAGGCCAGCCTCAAAAACTTAGGGAGGACATAGGCAATTTAGTGAGACCCTGTCTCAAAATTAAAAAAAGGGCTGGGGACGTGGCACAGTGGGTAAGTGCTCCAGGTTCAGTCCCCGCAGTACCAAGAGGGGAAAAAAAAAAAAGGAGCCCAATCATACACAATATACATATATGTATTTATGACATGCATACATGCCTGGGTATACATGTGTATATATGTACATCTTACATATGTAATTTTTATGTAAATTATATATAATACACTTCACATGCCTCTAAGAAGTTCCATCATATGTGCCTAAACATCAGCTATTGCTATAGACACTTTTAGATGTTGACATATCATGGTTTATTTTATGAAACTCTTCATCATAAATTAGTTCCTTTTATATCGAGGGAAGATTTGCAGAACAAAAAGTCCTCACAAGAGAGATGTTGGTGAGTCACCTCCATTTTGGTGACTCATGCCACTTTGGTTTCATAACCCTTTTAGTAATATGATAATAGTAATGCTTAATGTGTCTGGGCCTCTACAGAGCTCTGAAGATCACATACGCAGTGTGCAGCCGTGAAGAGGGGCTTTGGAATCTAAATTTCAACTATACTACTCCTGATTTGTGTGCATTTGGGTGAGAGCTAAACTTTAATTTATGTATCATCTCTTCATTAAGCGGCTATTTTGAAGATTAAAGGAGGTAATCAACCAAAGAACCAAATTCATTATATTCTAAAAAATGTTGCACACATTTTGATCCTTTTCCTTTGCCTCTAAATGACAACAGTAGTGTCAGACAAATAGGCACAATAGGCATCAGCATTGGGTTAAGTTAAAATGTGAATTTCTCTATTTTACATTGCTATTTTTAATAGCAATCATCAAGGTGAAACTTAGCGACCCACCTTAGATGGTATATGTTTAAGGAAGTCTTAGCAACCCACCTTAGATGGTATATGTTTATGTCTTTCCTGGGAATTATATGCCATCTTCTCTGACATTCAAACTTCCCTGTGAGGAGAGGCAAGGGAAGGATAAGAATGTGAAATACAGAATTGTGTGTTTTGAGCAAATGACTTCTCCCCATATCTTTCTGGAGTAGATCATTTGTGTGATAAAGTGAGGCATGACTAGGCATGATTACACACATTGTAATCCAAGTGACTTAGGAGGCTGAGGCAGGATAATTGTAAGTTGGAGGACAGTCTGGTCAATTTAGAAAGACCCTATCTCAAAATAAAATACAGAAAGGGCAGAAGGTATAGGGCAGTGGTAGAGTACCCCTGGGTTCAATCCCTAGCAATCCCCCACCCCCGAAATACACATATAGAGTGAGACATGGAGAAGTAAGGTAAACTTGGCCAAGACAGAAACAAAGTCAGATACCAAGAGTAAGCAACATTGGAAAACTGGTGTTTTATATTCTAGAAGTTTCTGTGGCTTCCTGTGGGTTTTTTTTTTCTGCGTGTGTATGTGTGACTCATTTGACTTCCTATGGTTTGTATGCCACAGAGATTTGCAACAATACAGAGAAGATATATTGTACCAGCCCTCCTAACATTTCAATTCAACCAACATTTACTCAGCCCAGACTGGAAATATTAAGTCTAAATGTCTCTTCCATCCCATGTAAGGCTTCCCTTACTCTTCTTGCTGATTAGGGAAATCTTCCCTTACTCTTCTTGCTGATTAGGAAATCCTAATTTAAATCTTAGGATGAATGATTTGTTCCTTGGTAAAATAGAGTTGCTGTTTTTTTCCCCCTTGTATCAGTACTAGTATCAATATTTCCTGTTAGTAATTTGTTCATTAAAGTGAATAAGCTTGCCAGATCCTTTTCTCTATTTTTATAATGAGAAGGAGGGAGTGACATAGAACAGTGAAAAATGAAAAAGGAAGGCTGTGGGTACCTCGTGTAGATTGACCTCACAGGATTCTGTGATTTGATTCCCCGTACCACTTGGTTTACAGTCCTATTCAGGAAAGGATGTGGTTGGTACATGTACTGGTAGAACATAAACAGTTACTAAAATCATAATTTTGAAGAACATTTAATAAGATGGGAAAAGACTCCATATATCATTAACTAAACAGAATAGGATCAATAATCATTTATATCATATGATCCTAATTTTATAATGCACGTGTGCATGTGAGTGTATATGTTTATCTGTGTGTGGGGGTGTGTGTGTGGAATGAGCTATTTTCGTGAAGTCAGAGCCAATTGGGAGCCTGGCCTGTGGTATTAAACCTCCCACCCTGCAGGGGTCCCCAGTAAGCTCAGGACAACCCGGCCTCTCAGGTTTATAAAAATCTTCCAGGAGCTGTGGTTGCTACTGTGGTGTCTCCTTCTATTTCCTGATGGAATACAATTAAAAGAACTTCAGACTATACAGAAGGGTGAAAATATGACGATTTGTGATCATCTATTTTCTTTCCATATCCTAGAGGTAAACTCTGTAGTGGCTTTCAGAAAGGTTTTATTTTTATGCAAATACCTATCCTTCCCCTACCTATCATTATACTGTTTTGTATCATTCTACTTTGTATTTCATGTGCTTTAAACAACTTTTCATATCAGTATTTATTATATTTCACAAAATGTGCTATATGTCAAGCCCTCATCTAAACGCCTCACAAATGTTAGATCATTTAAGCTTCACAACAACTTATGAGTGAGTACCATTCTTATGTTCATTTTACTGACAAGCAAAGTGAGAGAATGCAGAGATTATGATACTTGACATAGACAGCCCCAGTTATAAGTGGTGGGCAAATTCCTTTATGGTTCCAGAATCTGCACCGAGCCTCTAGAATCTATTCCTAATCTCTTAACTGAGCAGCTAACTGGCATACCTAATATGTATAAATCTCAGAAGACAGATAGCTGTCATTTTTCTTATTCCCTTGTATAAATTGTCACAATCTATTCATCTAATGTCTTATTTATTAGTGCGCAGGTTGTTTGGGATTTTTAATTATTATAAAAATAATTACAAAAATTGCATTTATCATTTATCTCTGTAAATGCTCTGTAGAATCTCGGGATAAATGCTTAGCAGTGAAGATGCAAAATCAAAAGATAAATTATTTAAACATTTGATAAATAATGTCAAATTATTTCACAAAAGTTTGTACTGACTTCTCTCTTATTAACAGTCTGTGACAGTGCTTATTTCTCTCACATCCAAATGCTGTTTGTTTACTTTATCAGCAGAGGAAGAAAGAAGCTACGATTGGTCTTTCACTATTTCTATTGGCATTTTTAAAATTAAGAGTGTAGGGAATGCTTTTAACTGTTTATGGAGCAATTATATTTTTCTCCTAAGAGCAGTCTTTTTTGACTTGTATTCTTTGACAATTTCTCCAATAAGATTTTTTTTTATTGATTACCAATTTGTTTTTTTTTTAATTTTTTATTGTTGGTTGTTCAAAACATTACAAATTTCTTGACATATCATATTCCACACTTTGATTCCAGTGGGTTATGAACTCCCACCTTCACCCCATACACAGATTGCAGAATCACATCAGTTACACATCCATTGATTTACATATTGCCATACTAGTGTCTGTTGTGCTCCGCTGCCTTTCCCATCCTCCACCCTCCCCCCTCCCCACCTCTCCCCTCCCCTCCCCTCCTCTCTCTCTACCCCCTCCACTGTATAACCCTGAGGGTCTCCTTCCATTTCCATGCAATTTCCCTTCTCTCTCCCTTTCCCTCCCACCTCTCATCCCTGTTAAATGTTAATCTTCTTCTCCTGCTCTTCGTCCCTACTCTGATCATAGTTACTCTCCTTATATCAAAGAAGACATTTGGCATTTGTTTTTTAGGGATTGGCTAGCTTCACTTAGCATAATCTGCTCTAATGCCATCCATTTCCCTGCAAATTCTATGATTTTGTCATTTTTTAATGCAGAGTAATACTCCATTGTGTATAAATGCCACATTTTTTTTTATCCATTCGTCTATTGAAGGGCATCTAGGTTGGTTCCACAGTCTTGCTATTGTGAACTGTGCTGCTATGAACATCGATGTAGCAGTGTCCCTGTAGCATGCTCTTTTTAGGTCTTTAGGGAATAGACCAAGAAGGGGAATAGCTGGGTCAAATGGTGGCTCCATTCCCAGCTTTCCAAGAAATCTCCATACTGCTTTCCAAATTGGCTGCACCAATCTGCAGTCCCACCAGCAATGTACAAGTGTACCCTTTTCCCCACATCCTCGCCAGCACTTGTTGTTGTTTGACTTCATAATGGCTGCCAATCTTACTGCTAATAAATGAATTCAGCAAAGTGGCAGGATATAAAATCAACACGCATAAATCAAAGGCATTCCTGTATATCAGCGACAAATCCTCTGAAATGGAAATGAGGACAACCACTCCATTCACAATATCTTCAAAAAAAATAAAAGACTTGGGAATCAACCTAACAAAAGAGGTGAAAGACTTATACAATGAAAACTACAGAACCCTAAAGAGAGAAATAGAAGAAGATCTTAGAAGATGGAAAAATATACCCTGTTCATGGATAGGCAGAACTAACATCATCAAAATGGCGATATTACCAAAAGTTCTCTATAGGTTTAATGCAATGCCAATCAAAATCCCAACGGCATTTCTTGTAGAAATAGAGAAAGCAATCATGAAATTCATATGGAAAAATAAAAGACCCAGAATAGCAAAAACAATGCTAAGCAGGAAGTGTGAAT